GATAATTGTTCATCTATTTCAGATGTTTCCTCAAGAAATGAGTTATCTTCATCTTCTGGACTTTCATTTGAAACCATTAAAGTTTCAGATTGATATTGGATTTCATTTTCTTGCTGACTACGATAAATAGCTTTGTTAATTGCTCTGTTAATGATTTTCTTAAAAGTTGTGACAACAATTACATCACAGAATTATACCTTTCCTCAAGGCTTGCGACTGGTGTGGGACGGCCAAATAGCGCAAGTTTAAGAGATTCGGTTGAAGCTTTATCAACATTTAAGGTTGGGTCGACTGTAGTTGAAGAGGGTAAATTTTTGAATTCGCCATTTGAAGGACTTTGTATTTGGCTCACTACAACACCATGTGATGTTGTTGATACAGGTGAAGTAAGAGAATTTTGATTTATAGTACTAAACAGCGACGTCAAAGGGTTAGGCGACATTACTTCTGGTGCAGGTAATGGTGGTGGCGGTGGTGGTACGGTAGCTGGTGAAAAAGCAACAATGGAATTATACCCAGTTTGCTGAGTAAATGTCTGATTAAATCCAAAGGTCTTGGGAGGGCTTTGTCTCGGAGGTGGAGTTGGCTGCGAAGGCGGATAGGAAGGTGGTGGTGGACTTTTTTGACCAGTCATTGTCGATTCGGAAGGTGACGTTTGGCTTTTGTGAAGAATACTCAACAACGCTGCCGAAGGATCCATTTTTTAAGAATTACCACAACGTCCTATAGTAAATATTTATATGTCTTATCGATACGAAGTTCAAAAGCGAAAATTTTCTTATCTATGATAACGATAATTTGTTTTAGATTTCAGAATGACAACCTGACGATAACTTCAACCTTAGAATTAAAAATGTGACAATTTCTTGTCACATGATACATGATATTAATCAAGAACTCAGTAATAGCGATAGGATTTCCAGTGCACCTATCCGCCAGTCGAGAGCTTTATATACTTCCGTATTTTGATCTAATACACACCTCTAAACTCACACCGTTTTCTTAATATGGTTTCAAAAAAATGCTCTTAGAGAAGTCTGTTTGCACTGATGAGGTCAAAAAAAAACGTTCCTGATCAGTGTTGGTCGATGGCCTTAA